TTTTTTTTTTTTTTTAAGAAGAGCAAACTTTCCCCACAAAGATACAAGAACAGCAAATATTGATCTTCTTGACAAATGGTGCACCTCACGCCACAGGCCACTCCAGCATCTGCTCATTACCACCCAGCCCTCCCCTTTGTCGGGAAATAATGCCAAGTGGCCCTGTGTGCTATCTGCAGCAGATTGCAAATATTTAAAAGAAATAAATTTCTCTGAATGAAAAGCACCTTTCTTTGTTATCTCACCCCCTCTCCTCCCCAGTCCTGTTGATTCAGGGGCTGTGCATACTCCCGGCACCTGTACTTTCCAATTGTTTGTTTGCCAAGATCATCATGGTTTCCTTGCCTGGTTTTAGGAACCATTCTAAGTACAGTAACCAATGAACGCGTACCTTCTTTCTCCCTTGGCAGTGCGTAAGGAAAGCTACCCCAACGGCAATTAGAGGACATGGGGAGGCTGGAAAAAAAAATTGGAGCTCATCTTTCTCACTTGTTCTATCTGATAATGGGACAGGTACCAGGTACCTCCCCTGCAGACCAAAAGTACATGTGAATGTTTTAGTGTCAGCAGAAAGTTTTTAAAATTGGTTCCTCTGAACCATCCTTTCATGGAATATTAATACCTGAACAATGAAAAATAAGAATGGAAATTCAACAAGTGGAAAATTAAGTTGTGGCATACTCAGCCAAGCATCCAGATATAAAGGTTGAATAAAACTATAATTTCTCTGACATGAAGCATGATCTATGTGAGGTAGTCCAAGTATAYCCTGTGTGGTCTTGATCATAGCTCTTCATCTCTTTCCCACTGAGCTGTGTGCAATACAGAGTCACAGTAAAATAAACTGCTGGCCAGTGCAGTTCTGCTGGTCAATGGAGATGCCAAACTGGCTTCGGAGACAAATAGCCTGAGTATAAAGCTCAGCCCCTTCACTTACCCTAAGTGGGATTCTACTTCAATGAGAAAGCTAGAGCCTCTACTGCCACCACCCCTGGGGAGGACTTTTGTCACTTGATACTGTCCTACTTACTTTTATTTTCATGTACAGGTATTTGGGAATCTACTTTTCTCCAGTCTTAATCCATATGGTTTGCATAAAACAAATGCTAAGACCTGCACATATCAGCACAWCATCTTCTTTTGACTACAGAGGTTTTGTTGAGACTTCCAGAATGGAAGTTTGACAGTGAAAGGTTACAGAGGCTGGGGCTGTTGCAGCTATCCTACCACCCGTAGGCAAATGTCTCTTGGCTTTGAATCACTTTTCTGATAAGACATCTTGAATAGGGGTGAGCTGCATTCTCTTGCTTATGCTTCTTGGTACCCATAGATCTATATTTGGGAGATCAGAGTTCAAAAGGCTGACTGTGTTCATGGAAGTTTATTTCACACCAGGTGCAAGTGACCAGTTCTGATAAGGGTAGTACAGATAAAGAAGGTACCCAATTTGCCTTCGTTGACATCATTCTCCAAAGAGTTGGGACAAGGAAATCCTAGGTAATTTACTTATCCTAAAAATGAAATAAATGATTCTTGGTACAAAACCCCTACATCTAAAACAAAGAGGTGTTTTGTTGTCACCAGTGTTAGCAAGCCATGGAGTGAGGAACGGACTGCCTCTGTTCTGTGGAGGAAACTCTCCATGGATAGTGCAGCAGTTGTTCTGAATAACAAATCRTGACTCTACTTTCAGTTTCTTGTAAGAGTCAAAAAATTACAGGAAATGTCAGAGGAAATATGAAAATGGTGTTGCATAAATCTCAACGGAAGTAAATTCGGACTTACACAAAACCGAATTGTATGAAGAGTTCAATCTTATTAGAAAAACTACTCCGCAAGAATAATCCACTCTAAAAGGAAAAATAAATAAAGAAGGGATTTCAGCAAAATAGAGGAAAGGGATTGAGCAGAAGGAAAG